TTGCAATGGCTACTATGTGTGCCGAAAATGCAAAAAGTTTGATTGTCTTTCTGTAGAATTCAAATAAGAATATTCTGAAACAATATTCGTAATCCAAAATTTCTAAACTTGCAGCATATTGTTTAAAATGAAAAGAACAAAAATAAAAATAAGTACATATTTATTTATGCTAGTAAAACATTATTAATATATTTATATACAAAAACCAGATGATAATGAGCATGTGTGTGTATGTGTGACATTTATTTTAAGTTATTATTGTTAATATAATTTAAAACACTTAAAAAATTTTTCAATTTCACAAAATGTCATCAGACACAATAATGACTTCAAAAATTTCTTTTTTATTTGTATTTCGATCAAGTATTACCATTATACTTTAAAATACTTAAACATATTTTTACGCATATTTTTCTCTACTCTGGTAATAATGATCATGATAAAGTGATAGGGAGGTTTTATTCGATCGGTACAGCCCTTCGTGAAAAAATGCGTTTACGCCAATACGAAGAACTGTGTGCTGCAAGTAAATGGAAATTTTAAGTGCACTTGCCGTGAAAATGTATAGGTCGGTTGCTGCGGGCTCCCGTATGACCAGCTGTAAATGTGTTTGTCCATCTACAATGGTACCACGCTAATGGCGTCAATCGTGCAACGAAGGTCTTTACTTTTGTCCCGCAAGAGCGAATAATACCGGAATGCGCGATACAGCGAGCGTAATTCAGAGTCTCGCAAAACGGCGGGAAAGAAATTTCCTGCCGGCTCTACATCGGCCTAATAAAAACGTCGCGCGCGAAAATGCGGCTGTGCCAACAGCGGTCGTCCTATGCAAATGCGTCGTCGGGGTGCAATGGCGGGGTAACGGTACGTCGCGAGAAATTTTCGCGATATTGGTATTCGCTCTGAGTTTAACATTGAAAATATGAAATTGTTTCGCGGATGGCTGGGCGGATGACTGTGCGCTTACGATGAAATTTCAAAGCGGAGAATGTACGCGAGCGCGGCGTAATTACCAGCGAATTAAGCATGGCTACGCGGCGAATAAATTCACATTGGAAGCGGAAAACACGAGAAAGGAATTCACAACTTCGCATTCCATCCTTCTGATGCCGGAATGCTATTAATTTTCCATAAATACGACGAATTCGATGCTGTTCTTACAAAGCACGACGTTGTTCGCTAGAATATTCGTTATGCAGTAGCACAACTGCAATGATACGTGAAATTTTATTTGTGACATCCAAGCAATCGATTGTAATTAATGAACGTTAAACGAAAAATCAAATTATACAACGTTTGTTAATTAATCATAGTACACGTTTCATAATTAATCGATTCACAGTGTATACAATGTTATGCGCTCATATGGTTATAGTTATATAACCGCATGCATATATAGTATGGAAAATTCCTATCACAGTTCTATATCTCATTTTTTCAGTATAGGTACTATTTTTTTTAAATATGTTGAAATTTCCAAGACTTAGATTCACGCCAAGAAAGGCTAGAAGAATATTCCAATAAAAATCTGTGAAGAAGTTATTGACACAGGTGTCCTAATTTCAGCTGAATCTAAAATGGATTAATAGAAAAGAAAGATTCACGTGGCCGCGCTTGTGGGCGTTCGAAAGGTCGAGGAGGATGCAGTTTAACATCTTCTTATCTAGAATTTTTCAATCTTGCGAGCCACTTGCGCGAGAAGTACGGCTCACGATAGCAGAAAATGAATGCCTCGGCACATAAGTGTATTCTCGTGTAGCCAAGAGACGAGGGTGTTAGTCACTCGGCCTCACGTGACTACGGACTTACATGTCGGTGGCGAACACCACGGCGTCCTATCTAGAATCTTTCAATTTCTCATACTTTCGTTCTACGTGCGAGAATCGAATCGCGGTTACCGATCGCTTAGAATCGTGCGCTTATACGCAAAATTCGAAGGCAGACTCGATAATGACACCTGATATTTGTAGTCACGTACAGAAGATATCAAAGAAATAACGCAGACATACTACTGCAACAATCTGAAAGATCTCTCGAGATGCACAATGTGTAAGATAAGTATAATGTGCAACGATATTTATGACATAGTAACGCCCCATAAACGTAACCTGCCTTAAAATCTCACATTTTTTTAAAAGAAGAATATGCATGCTTCTGCTCTCATTATTTCATAATCTTCAATTAGCTCGCGGAAAACCGCAATTTTGAATTCCGGCGCATACATTTTACATGCACGCGTATTAAGTCCGTCCCAGCATATAAAAGCGTAATTACTGTAATATTCAGTAAATATACGTGCAATCCAAACAACGGAACTCTGGGTAAGCTGATCATCGATTTACCCATATTACGTAAATTACAAAATTGCTTGTAGAAATTAATTAACGTAGTTCAATATAAGTTCTGTAAATGAAATTTAATAATAATGCACTACACGCGTCTATTGATGAGGTAATTTCAGTTTGTTGGCATTAATGTAACCTATTTCAAAATATGATAAACATGCTGAGCATATGTTTTAGACCTAAAGCTTAATTACAAAAATCTAAAGAAAATAAAGAGATCTCTTCCTTGGTTCCAATGTATTTTTCTTTAATAATAGGGACGGTTTCCTTTGTCGCGCGGTAAAATAAACGTCTAACTACTGCTAATTGCGGGATTACGTGCTTCGAGGTCGCGAGATGTATTCACGAGAAGGTCGTACTTGCATGACCTTAACGAAATCTTTGAACGAACAAATCCACGAATGTTAAATTACGTATATTATTCGAAATGAAAAAGAATGCGCATGAAATTATGCATATAACCTCCATATGAGATTATGCAAATAGAACAACAATATATGTATAACAACATCAAAATGATGAATAGATTTTCTCCTCGTTTTAGCTTCATAATTGTTACACATTTCTTTTAATAAATAAAGAAAGAGAATAATATTTCTTATTATACACGACACTATAATATATTTTTTATGTTCCTAAATAATAGTAAAAATAAAATCAAAACAATTTTGCTAAAAAGATTACGCCAAAGATCTCTTTCTCTAACATTTCTTTTCGTCGATTGATATAGCTGATTTTAATTCTCTGCGCCTTCCGCACCGGAGAATATAATAGTGACAGACATTAACCAATTAGCGCCAGAGCTACACCCACTTTATCTTTCTCCGCTGCGCTACTTCTAAACGACTCGTAGAGAGATGCTCCAAAACGGTCGGCTATTTTCGGAACCATGTGCCAACGCGATATCGCATCCCCCGCAGTTCGACGAACCTTTAAAGTGTGAACGGATATGATTTTTGCAATCTCCGCGACTTTTTGCACTTGAGGGCTCGTCCTTTGCAGACGCAATTAATCTTGAAACAATTTAACCTCTCTTCATGTAACTATATCATATTTTATCTCGCAAAATTCTATACATCTACATTACAAATTTTATCGGAGCAAAATTATATCAAAAATTGTGTGGCATTATATATATGTTATTCTGTTTGTAAATTAATATTATCTAAATTATATTATCCGCAACAAATTTCAGTAATTTTCAACATAATGTTAAAAAATGCTTATCTGTTAAATATTTTTTGCATTGAGTTTATACAACATGTATGTAATAATTAAATTGAAATAAATGTAATAATAGAAGGAAATCATGGAATTTAAATGTAATGCTCTCCATTGTTTTTAAATAAAGTAATTCAATAATAAAAATATTAAAATACAATGCATTATTCATAAAATGTAAACAAAATGTACTATTTATATTAATCTTGTTATAAAATATCAAAAAACAACCAGTAATTATTTTACAAAATAAAGTGTATATTTCAAAATTTATATCTGTATTTAATACTTGCTTTCTGAGTTCTTTCAATTTTTCTTTAGTTCTATCTTCCTGTTATCTTTATCTCAAAGACTTGATACTGATTAGATTGAGATGAAGAGAACGATGAAAATAGCACAGGGTTAAAGATAAATATTTCAAACATGATGTTCATTCCGGAAATATACGTGATGAGATTGTTGACCAAATTACATGCAGATCGACTCTCTTTCTTCCAAAGAATCTCATGATTAAAAGCATAAGTAATAGCTAAAAATGTATTTACTAGTTCAAAGCTTTATGTAACTTTGAGACGCTTCTGTCCTTGCTTCATAACTGATAGTTAAATATTCATGTATCTATACCGTGACGAGCATAATTGAATATTTATAGATGTTCGAGATAAAAGGCTTCAGAACTATATTTCTATATCCTGCAATATTCTACGTCCTTTAAACCTATTGAGGAATTACGCATCTATTAAATAGATAATGAATTTTTTAGCCATATTAATAATTTGATATAAGACAGACAGTCGCAATTTTTAATGTATTATAAATGATATAAAATAAACTCTAAGAGATTAAAGACGAAAAATTTTATATTTTAATAACTACTTGTATTATTTTATCGTATAATATTGTTAAATCAAATCAATTATATTTGTTCTATATGCCAAATATGTAACTTTCTAAATGCATTTCTACATTAATCTAATTTAAATCTTGTTTCTCTTTATCTCAAATTAAAACAAATGTTCTCATGCTATACACAATACGTCACCCGCATATATTTTTCTTTTTTTCTATGTTGCCAAAAATCCAATTTACAGGGAAATAAAATGAATTTAAAGTGAGGAAAAGAAAAAAGAGAGAGAGAAAATTTTGCAAAACGCGGTTTGAAATGTTTATTTATACTGTTCCTCTCTCTCTCTCTCTTTATGTATATATATATGTACATACATATATAATATGTGATGTGCGCATCCACGCCAGAATTTAATTAAAATAGTCTGAAATTATAATTCGACAATCTCATCACATTATACCATAATTTCGTACGGTACATTTCTCGTACACGCGTTTCAAGAGTGGCTACTGGCTATTGAGACCAATAATTTGTTGGCGTATACTGCGTTAAAATGTAGTTTAAGTAGAACGATTATAATTACTTACCAACCAGCTAATGTGCAAAGTTACATCTCATCCGACGAACACAGTTTGGAAGAATGACCCTGCGCGCGCGCACACACACACACTTCACACGCACGATAATCTCGGGGACGATAGGGATGGACGAAGACCAGGTGAAGTTCGGCACTGTGCAAAAGTTACATCAGGTTAGGCTAGGTCACGTCAACGCCAGATTACGTCTAAGACGATCTATCTTTTCCTGTCGCGCGCACACCCGCCGTATAGATCGTCTTCGTCTTTCGCGCGCGCACGTCTTGACGTCACTACCTGAAGCATCTACTTCCGCTTGACACGAGTTTCTATTATTCTATTATCGTTTAATTTGTTTTTTTTTCCGAACGTCAATCGACACACATTCAATCACTTTCGACGCGCAAATGATGTATCGTCTTTGACGGAAAACGCGCGGGAATTACGCGTCGCGTTTTCAATCCCGCGGAGATAATCTTTTACGCGTTTTCTCGTCCTCGTTTCCGCGATATCCTTTCCGAATAGAAAACGCTTCGTCCGTTATCGGATTTTTCATTCACTCGAACGTAACGTAGGTTTATACAGAGAATCTCGAAAAACGGCAAGTTTCGATAGTTTCATTGCGCTCTGTTCTATTTAAATGACTAATAGTTTCGTGCGACAAATTCGGAGCAGTGAACGACCACTAATCTGTATCATATTGCACATCAATATATTTCGGAGAATAATTTATTGATCGAGCAACGAGCGCGGTAACAGAGGGCCCTCGATACTCCACACTTTTAATTTCGCCACACGAGAGTCAACACTAGTTTAAAGGTCACTGTTTAAAACCCACGATAATTGGAAATGTTGTCCATTGCGTGCACTTTAAAGTCTTCGAATATGTATCTTATATGTTGTCAATATATACATACATACGTTGTTGTATGCAATGTATACGCACGAAACACAATACTACATAGATGTACAACGTGGTAGATCTCGTATGAGGGGTTGACAGGTAATGCGCGCACGCACACAGAGACACCCCCAAGAGAGGGTGCGCAGCACGACCTTGCCGATGCGCGGTTCGAGTACGACTAAGCGAACGAGTAGACTCGAGACTCGAGCGGGCTGAAGCCACGAGCCGCATCAGTCGACCGGCGACGACCGACCAATCAGCGCTGTCCTCCGCGAGAGCGCCAGGTACTCAATGATCGACTATATATGCTCCTACTTTCATACATATTCTCGTGCATGAACGACGCCGACGCCTCGCGTATAAATGAATCTGTCGTCTTGTTTTTTTTTTTGAAGATAAGACAATAATAATATATGTATATGTATATTTTCGGTACATTGATTACTTATTAGGCTTCTCAGACAATAGATTTTTGGAGTAAGTGGTGAATATCCCAGATAGCACCATGTCTAAAATGCACGCATAAGTTATCATTAAGACATCTTTAAGAAATCTTATGATATGATATCCCAAAGACATCTTGAAAACATCTTAAAGATGTCTTATGGGTGCATTTTGGACATGGTGCTATCTGGGATATTTGCCACTTACTCCAAAAATCTATTGTCTGAGAAGCCTAATAAGTAATCAATGTACCGAAAATATACATTGAAGTACATTGTTGCAACTTTATACATTTTTACGACATAGTAAAGAAAGGTTACTGCCGCATATAATCATATGCATATATCAAATATCTCGTTACAATTTTTAGTTATATTTACTGATTGTAGCGGTTAAAATAATTATTTACTGATAATATGAAACTGAAAGTTTATCTTATGCATTATATATTATTCATTCGACGGATGTTTTCATGTTTGAAGATACTTCTTCTTTTTCTTCTTATTTGGCTGGAGCTCATACGCCATTTTTAGACAAATTTTGACGAATCAGGCATTCAGGCTTTTGTATTTTTTTGTATCTTCAATACTCATATTTTCCTTTAGATGAGAAGCTATATCTTGACTCCAGTGCGCTTCGTAAAATTGGATAGTTCTTCGTAGATTATGTTCTGCTTGGAGAAGACAAGGTGTGGTACGTCCAAGACATGTTTGAAGATACTTCGAAAAATCATGATGGACAAACATTTAATAGACATGCGTTTGAAAAGTAATCATCTTTAAGCGTGAAGATAGCCGCTGCTATCAGCAAATATCACATATCACTGTCATTTGATTTTTTTGTATAGTTCGCTCATCAGGTGTATCCGCGGTTTCATGTCGCGCTGTGTGTCAGACTTAAATTCGTAATCGAAGTGGCAGCTAGTTGATCCGCGATTCTCCGTGCTATTTGCTCGTCCGTCTATTGACCGCTTTCTTTTGTGCAAGTAAAAAATGACTCGCGTGTGTATAAATCGATATTGAGAGCACCGAATAAAGTACCGTGTGACCGCTTAACGTGTTTTGCGGCGTGCACGATCGTATTTCACGATGGCACATTGGCACGTTGGCACGTACGTTTTGAATGACCGTCGCGCACATATAGATGAGTATCCATTTTGGAATAAAAATTTTAGAATATTGACAATATCTCAATAGCTGATGAACAAGACACCTCTGAAAAGATTAACGTTCAAACTTTTATTTGTTCAAATTAAAAAAAAAACAGTATTATATTTTGTGTGTGTGTGTGTGTGTGTGTGTATAAGTCTATACACGCGCGAGAATATTTTTGACAATTTTAGCTTCGCTTTTGTGTAGTGAAAACTTGAATCGTACCACGTTACATACGTTTCTCGCGTTTTTGTTCGTCGGAAATAGACGACGTGAGTATACCGAATGCAATATCACAACGATATCGCCATAACACGTACAGAATCATTATTATATATTACTATGTATATTTTTCAGCATTTGTATTCCTGCGAGAGAGTGTATGTGCGAAGTTGAAGTGAATGAATCCCGAAGCAGAAATTGGCACAAAAAATGAAGCAGCTGACGGCAGTAACGATACAACGGCTGGTGAGTAAATTTATTCGATGCATGCAGATGATTTAATTATAATTTCGCTTTAGCGAATGCAAAGAAGTTGTGTAATCTTGCGAAACAATAAATTTTATACTTAATATAAAACTTTTTGAACCGTCACGAGATTATTTTAAATTAATGAGGAATAAATAAATAACGTTTTATGATTATATAAATATGCTTTCAAATATTTTTCTAACTAGTATATCAAAATCTTAAATTATATTTAAAATGGAAATAGTAAACTAACGAACAAATTGAAATACATATTGTATATTATTAAAACGCATTTTAATATGTAAATAATTTGTTTCAGTTAATTATTTTTAAATATTAATATAATTTAATTACTATATATATACATATATATATATATATATATATATATATATATATATATATATATATATATTTGTTATAAATTTTAATTTTGCTAATTGCAATCTAATATTTATAAATAAAAACGAAGCTATTTCTATTAAAGTTATTATAAATTTATAAAATAAAATTACATATCACAATACACAAAAGTACATTTGTCTGATGGTTTTCCATCATAAAAGTACATTAGTCAAACGATGAAATTAGTTTCGCACACAATAGAATCGTTCATTAATCAAGGCTGCCATGCCTTATCTACAATTTCATACTGGATTTATGTTTGTCCACTTTGTAAACAAATATTGCAAGCATTTCGTATCTGTATTACTTTAAACATAACATCGACTGCAATCGATTGAAACTCTTTCAGCGAATCGTGTAAATATATTATTAGTATTCATCGTTATAAATGCAGTAATAGAAGCTTGAAATTCTAACTTTATCTGAACTAATTCCAATCTCAAATACTTTAAGTCTCATATACATTTATGCGTGCTGTCAGATTATTTTATGACAAGTAAAATTTAATCCATGTATAATATTTTAAAAATGTATACAGTGTATATATATATATATTATATTTTTTAAATATATATTCAATTGTGTATGTATGTATATGTATGTACACCCTCCGTGGCGACTATACTGCAAGAAATGTGCAATCTGCGAAAGTTATTTTGATACCTTAAAATGCGGCCGGAAAACGGGATAAAGGATTTTACTGTAGCCTGACGAACGACAATGCACAGGCGGAACGAATCAAGGATTTTTCCGAAAAGAAACCGATATCACAGCTCCAGATCTCTCGCGGACGCTCATGTATATGTACATGCGAAAGCGCGCAAAATACGAGATACGTCGCGATGAAATTCGAGGAAGGATATTCGATGCGCCCAACGAAAAATACAGTCCAATGGAAAAAGAAAACTTTCCATTAGGGATACGTTCGTTCGTATATGGTAACGTCAGTGTACGTTTTCTACGTGACGACACATACATATACCTACACCACACGAAGAAATGGATTATCGGAATATATACGGAGAATTTCTTATCCAATATATATATATATATATATATATATATATACATATATATATACATATATACGACAATATATGAAAATGTGTCTTCGCGAAAGTCTTTGTGATCGTTTTATACTCACTTTTTCAATATTCGTCGTTGAGTTTGTCGAAAGTCTCTCAGGCTACAATATAATTCACGGCGTCAATGTTGGCCTCTCAACGTTGTGCAAAGATTAAAAAGGATATCACTATCTTGTGATATCTTATTTTTCTTGCAAGGAATAAATATTTGTATCAACATGATGGGACCGCGTGATTTATTCGCGACATGGTAAAAAGCATTATAAGCGTACATTTCACACCGAATTTAGTTTGTTGAATCGCGAATTTGGTATATTTTATCCCATTTGAACGGAATATAGGATCGTATTCGTGACAACATGCTTCAGCGTTTTTACGTTTCGCGTCGCTGAACCGATAATCTATTTTCAGAAATATATTTCCCGCGCATCTCGCTCACGATGATCGGATTGATATCACGAAACACACCGTGACGCGTCGTTTATCGCTTTCCGCGCGAGTTTTTCCGGGCGTAGGTTACGTGAAAAAGTCTGCACCTGGGTAAATCTAATATCGTTCTTACTTATTTACTTACGTCTCGCAGAAGAATGGAGACGCGAAGTAATGTACAGAAAAGCGCGGATTTTAAAGACATGTAGAATTCCTGAAGAAATCTTTCTACAAAACACATAATTCACACCTATGCATTATTATATATACGCATGCACACACAGACAGGACATGTAATATATATTTGACTGATTTTTAATAAGAGTATATAAAGAAAATTAAATTCATATATATGACGTGTTTGCTCTCATGTATCTCTCTTGAATTCCATAAATTTTTTAGACATAACAATATTAAATTTGCTCGTCAATAAAGAGCGTTGTCAGCATCATTGAACGACTAAGAGATGCACATAGTTGTTTTCAGTATAAGCAGCAGATGGTCTTTACAAATCAGTGCACTCTAGTTTCGAACTCATTCTTTTTCTTATTGTGTCTATACGACTTGGCACTCAACAATTAGATTTTACAAATGGAAAAAGGAAAATAGAATTGTTTTAATGAAAATGTAAACTTTGTTTCACTTCCATTTGCACTTCTGTTACCCAGTATCCTATTTTTATCTCAAAGAAAATCGAGAAATGAATACCTAAATATAAATAAGTTATATGAATCTTTGTCTCTTCCTCTTTATTAAAACTATTTATCCAAACTAAATAATATACAACCAAATATTTAATGCGATAAATATAATTTTCTACCAATTTATACATATTAATACACACTGTGAGAAAAAAGTTGTTAATTTAACTAAATTTTTCAACTAATATTTTGTTAATTGAACAATTTAATCAAGTTAACAACATTTTTTTCTCATTGTCAGTGTCAATGTACATTTTTTATCTACAATATTTTTCAGCTCGGTTTACAAATTATTTATTGATTATATTTGAATATAAGTTCGTATACGGGAAAATCACGTAGATGAAAAATAATATGATGAAGCCAATCAAAAAGGAAACATTAAATGCCGCCGTTTATGTATAATTACGTATATTCTTATACGACACCCACACATACTATATAGCGCATGCACATCAATGCACACGCAAGGCTGCAAGTA